GTCAGTGGTCTGGGTCCCAAGGAGCGTTGGCAGGTCCTGTTGCAACTAATTATGAAGCTCAGCTCGTCAGGCAGTGAGCAATGAGCGTCAGCCCAATCTACAGCATTCAGGGCAGGTGATCGAACAGGTAAGGGTGGATGTGCCAGGGCAGGTCTCTTCAAGACACAGCCACCACATACCAGCAGCACCCACCGGTGAGGTGCCCTGGCAGGACATCTAGAGATGGAACCAGCCCCAGCACCACCAAACCTGTCCCAACACGTTCCCTGTTTGCCCTGGGGTAACAACAGCAGCTCGCTCCACCGCGGCTGGTGCCCACGACTCACTGAGGGTCCTGCGGGCTCATGGGGGACCCAAGGGATGTTTGGGAAGGTGCATCCATCCCACCAGTTTATAATCCCACCATCACAACTGCATGCTCACCCTTCTCTCCTGTATCCTCACTAACACTACTTCCCCAAGTTTGGGAAAAAAAAAAAAAAAAAAGAAAAGAGGAGAGCAGAGGCTGGACCCAGCTCTCAGCTTCCACAGCTGGAGAAGGACCGTGCACACTGAGGAGTGATCTCCTGCAGGAGATGTCCCACCCTTGTGGCTCATTCTCATTAAACACCATGCCTGGGTCCCTGGCAAGAGCCACCGAACTCACTGAGGGCTTTGTTGATGAAGGAATTGCCAAGGGGCATTGCTACATGAGTGGGAGGAAGCCGCTGGTGCCCACGGGACTGAGGCAGCCCTCTGGCATCCAGTGGGAGCTAGCTTCCTGCTGGGCTGGCATGGTGCTGAGTGGTTCACCGGCCCAAGGACTGGATTTTGGCAAGGCAAAAGTTCAGTCCTGGTGCCTGCTGTGGGAGAGAAACTGCATGCTGCTCACGTGACTGGTCAGGTCCCCCCACAGCCAGGGGGACCTCTGTTGACTTCTGGTCCCACTGCAAATGTCAGAGGGGTCCCCAAAAGGCCCACAATGTGACAGGGCAGCCGCCAATGCACTCACCCCATGGGAGCTCCATCACAGATGTCCCTATTGCCAAGCACCCTGGGGACTCAGCGACCCTAGCACATCTCCCTCAGAGAGGCCTCACCCTACAGGCAGTGTTTGGGCATGAGGATGGACCTCTTACCTTAGGTGCAAACTGCAAGGCCAGCACATAAGACCCTTGGATCCAAAAGCCTCATGTTTCAGGGCATGAAAGGAGAGCAGGAGAGCTCAAGGACATGACCAGCACCATGGGGCCCTGTAGCAGCAGGGAACAGAGAGGTAGATTATTAGTGCTGGTGCCAGTCCTACTCCCAGAGGGACATCCCCTACAAGGGACCTGCAGAAGCCCTCATCAACACTCCAGTGAGTCTTCAATAAAACACCTGGAGACATGACCTGCTGCCTGTAGACAGAGAAATGCCCAAACTCTCCATTGCCCCCACCAGTCTGACTTCTCTGACCCTAGATCTGGTGTTCCCTTCCAGCCTAAACATGAGGCAACATGCATGCTACAGCCTGCTCTCCCTAACTTCACTGACCCCAATCTCTGCCACTGCCTGGCAGCTAGCCCAGAGATGGAGCCATCCTCACAGCTGGCCTCCAACCCTTCCTGCTCCCCAACACCTCTGCTATTGCATGGACCCAAACGGTCCCCCCAGCATGTTCTGCCTGCTCCCATCCACACCGCCCAGACTCAGGTGACAGCACATCCCTCTCCAGACAAGAACACCTATCACGAGCTGGCTGGGGAGCTGCTGGCTACAGCTGGAAGAGCTTGAGTCAACCCAAGAGCTGCCCAAGGCCAAGGAAGCCATGACCTGCTGAGAGGTATCCAGGGAATTCAAGGCAGGGATGTGATGCAGCTCTCCTGACTCCCGAGCTGTTGCAGCTGCTGACAGGCAGAGGATGGGTATGTAGTGCAAGGATCTGCCCCAGTTCCAAGTGGTGTTACTGCATTTTGAGGCCATTAACAAACGACCAGTGCCTGGAGGCCACGCAGCACGTGTCCCTGGGCTCTGCAGGGCTGGTGGGCACAGAACAGCATCCCTGCAGCCTCCAGGCGCCACTGCTTGGAATTACTTATCCAAACCCTCTCAGCAGGTCTGGCTGTTGCTGGCTTGCCGTGGATGAGCCACCACCATCTATTCCTATGACAAAGACATGAGATATTGCTGCACCTGCCTCGCGCTTCCCCGAGAGGTGCAGGCCACAGTGACTCACAGAGCTACTTTGGAGGTGAATCTCAGGAGCACCTGAGTTGTGGGCGAGCATGCCTAGGTCTTCAGAGCTGAACACGATGCCCAAAAGCATGGCCATCCTCTCAGCCCTGCCCCACCCAGCGGCTTGTCCAGGCTTGCTAGATCCCCCACCCACTGCAGCCCCTTGGGGTGGGACTGCGTTCAGTCTGTAGTGCTCAGCTGGGAAATAGCATGAATATGGTAATTATTTCCTAGGAATTTAATGAATATTTACATTTTGATTGCACATGACCCTCTGTAGTTGAATGATTCAGGGCACACACTAGGAGGAGTGATCCCCTGTGTGCCTGGCGCCATAATAAAGAACGCCTGCTTTCTAGAACTACAAATTGAGTTTTAGAGGGGTCTTATCCCGCCAACGTAGAGTATCAGTGGCACTATGCATCACCTCAGTGCTGGGGTACCAAAGTCAGCTTACGGGGGCTCTCTCTGGGCAGCCAGCCCTGGGGGGGACCCTGAACACCTCCCCAACTCCTCCCTGCCAGGCTGCCACATCCCTCCCACTGCCACTGCGCTGGAGGACCAGACGCGGGTTCTTCCAGGGGACACAACTCCCGCCGGCAGATGTACACCGAACCAAACTGAAGCGCCCAAAGCTTCTGCTGAGACAGACAGAAACAAAGAGCAGGGCAAGACTGGAGCCGTGCCTCCCCGGTGCGCCCTGAGGTCACCTCTGTCTTCAGTAGCTTCTTTTGAGAAAGAGGATCCTACATCAGCATTCAGCATCTGCGCTGCCTCACTGCAAGACCCAGCACAGCTTGACCCCAGGCTGGGTATCCAGCCACCTCCTCCTGTTTGCTTTTGCTTGAGGCAGATTTAAGGGAGAAATGAACGCACAGCGATCAGCTCGGCTACTTTGCCTCGAGATGAATGCCATCCCGCTCCGGTCCTTCACCCGCCTGCCCTCTAGGCTCCCCAGTAGAACTTTAGTTTGATACAAATCCTTGCATCTGCAAAAGGGTTTCTGGCAGGGCAGCCTTCCTAGGCTTCTCTCACAGATGCCAAAAATGTTAATTACAGCACTGCGGCCTCGCCAAGCCCTGCACTTACATGGGAGCACCTATTGATGAGCCAGATAAAGGATTTACTGCTCATTCTGATTCTTCTCACAAGCCGTTCCTGAACTCATCCACCAGTTCCCCTCCGAGGTTTCTCCTTTGAGCACAGCTCCGTGTTTTGCAAAGCAACACTGAAAAGCCTCCCTGACCCTGCAGGCAGTCTTGGCTCTCTTTGGGCTTTCCCATTTCCTTGGCCATGGGGCACATGTCTGCCCCGAGCTTCCGACATCTTGGCCGTCAAGCAAGTCAGCCTTACTCTCCCCTGGGAAGCTGCAAAGCGGGGTGGTGTGTGGGAACAGCCCCTGGACATGGCCCAGGAGGGATGCTGTGGGGTCTTCATCCCTGGAGACTTCAGAACTCACCTGGACACATCCCTGAGCTGCCTGGTCCAGCCATGAGGCCATCCCTGCTCCAAGCAGGGCTGGCTGGAGATGTGTGAGAGAGCTCCCTCCCAGCCAAAAACTTCCTGGGGCTCTACAATTTGCCCACTCTCAGCAAAACCCACCCGGATCCACACCCCCCTTGGCTCTCCCCTGCCAGACAGACCCATCATCCTCCTGCAACACTCCCAGAGGGGTTTCCACTCCCCGTTCCTCACCCAGCTCTTCAGAGCTACGTTTCTCCTCTCACACCAGCCCCTCTGGGCAGCTCCCTTCCAAGCACTTTCAACATCAGCTGGCTGTGCCACATCCACCCCCATTTACAGGGTCACACACTGGTCCTCGTTGTTTCCTCCAGTCCTGTTGCCTTCTCCTCCCAGAGAGGCAAGGGTCACCCAGCCATGGGGAGTTCAGCCCTGCCACACCGCTCTCGAGCTTTCTCCTCCCTTGGCTGCAATTCCTACCCACACTTCTATTATCAGTGCCCGGCATAGCTGAAAGCCAGCTGAGCTGTAAAGCAATGTTTTGTAAAGCAACTCAGGCTGTGTTTGGAGCAAGGCAACAAGTTTGCCCACGAAGGTAAGAAACCGGTGGCTGGGTACAAGGCATGGTGATTCAATACTGGATCGCACAGCCTGATTGTGCAGGACATCATAGAGCAACCATGATGAGTTTTCACTCTCAAGACCTGCCCCAGGGCATCTCTGGAAAGCTCCACATCTGAGGATGGCAAACAGAAAGCTCCTGTCTCAGCACTGACTCACAGCTGGTGCTGCTGGCTCTTCCCCCATCTCGCGCCTGGTGTTTCTCACCACCCTCCATCACCCCTGGCTCCATCATGGGGCCCCGTGCTCCAGGCAGAAGCTGTTTTCATTGCAAAGGGCTCGACAAGTCCACATACACAACCTCAACGGAGGCACCCAACTCATGCAATGGCATCAGCGGTGTCTCCACTACCTTAGCAAGCAAAGACAAGGGGGGCAGGAGTGCGTTGAGAAGAGGTTGACAGATGCGCGTACCTGCTTGCTCTCCTTGACCCAGTTGCTGCTTCTCCATTACCGCTTTCATGCCTGGATGTGCCTGCCAGCCAAAAGGGATTAGCTGGGGGATTAAGTTCCATGCATAGGCATCTATTAACCGAGAGCAAGGCCCGAGGAGCCGTCCATCCCTGCAGACCAGCAGCTCCAGAGCATCAGCCAGCTCTGCTTGCAGTCACCTGGGTGGTGGGCAGCTAAACCAGGTGGCACAGCACCCCTCAGGCTGGATTCACCAGGCAAAGTTCACAGAGGGCAACAAACAACTGAGCCACCCCCTGCCCTTTGGGCAGTCTCCATTTCAAGGCACCAGGTCCTACCTGTGCTTTCAGGACAAAAGATGAAACTTGAGAGGTGGTTACAGTTCCCATCCCACAGAACAGTCCCATGCTTTGGATGCAAAGACATCCAGCTGCTCACAACATGGAGAGGAGCAGAAGGTGAGGTTGAGCACGGCCAAATTTCCTTCTACAGAAGGGCATAGACAATGACACCTGGGGTCTCAAAAGCAGGCAGAAACCCCCATAGAGCAGTGGGGCCTTGTGACAAGTGCTGTAGGACACCCGAGCAACCCCTCCAACTGAAGAGCAGCCTTCTGGAGACACCTGGGCTGATTGTGTATCTCCAGCTCCATGCAGCACCAAACTCATGGGAAACCACAAGCTTTATCCCATCTTCCCAGGTTGCCCCATCTCTCCAGGGCCCAGCTTGTGCTTTAGCGCCTTTTGTTCCTTCTTCACGTAACTCTGTCTGAGCATGAAGCTGAGCTAGAGACCTCCAGAGGCCACTTTGCATCCACACCAACCGTGACTGCATGCTGCAGCAGATCCCCCACAACTCCTGAATCCCACACTTGCATCTCCCGGGATTTAATACGCATCGCAGTGCACCAGGTGCCTTCACAGCAACTAAGGTGAAACTAAACCATTGTCACGGTTTAACCCCGGCTGGCAACTCAGCACCACACAGCCACTCGCTCACTCCCCCCACAGTGGGATGGGGAGAGAATCCAAAGGGTAAAACTGAGAAAACTCATGGGGTGGGGTAAAGACAGTTTAATAGGGAAAGCAAAAGCCGTGCACGCAAGCAAAGCAAGGAATTCATTCACCACTTCCCATGGGCAGGCAGGCGTTCAACCATCCCCAGGAAAGCAGGGCTTCATCACGCATAACGGTGACTTGGTAAGACAAACACCATCACTCCAAACGTTCCCCCCTTCCTTCTTCCCCCAGCTTACATACTGAGCATGACATCATATGGGCTGGAACACCCCTTTGGTCAGTTGGGGTCAGCTGTCCTGGCTGTGTCCCCTCCCAGCTTCTTGTCCACCTGGCAGAGCTGAGAAGTCCTTGACCAGTGTAAGCACTACCCAGCAACAACTAAAGCATCAGTGCATTATCAACATTCTTCTAGTACTAAATCCAAAACACAGTGCTATGCCAGCTACTAGGAAAAAAATTAACTCTGTCCCAGCCAAAACCAGGACAACCATGCAGCAGGCTGAGCTCAGACACAACAGGACAGAAACACACATTTTTCTCTAACCCTGAACCCCAAATCCTCAAGGGAGAGCTACAGAGTGCTTTTAAGACGAGCCCAGAAACTCGTTCATAGCTCCACTTGACACCAGCGTCACGGATAACTCAAAGACTGTTGGTGGTATATCTCATGTCCTCTCCCCTCACCGGGCTCCACATGCTCCATAGGGAAAAAGCACTCACCCCATCCCATCAGGCACAACTTCCCCTGATAAATGCCCAACTCCAGCCCACAGGCACACACACTTGAGAGAAAAAAACCTCAAAAGTCCTACACATGGTCATCACTCTCCACACACCCTAGAAATTTGCCACTTTATTCTGGGCTTTAGGAAAAAAAAAAAAAAAAGTCATGTCAGAAAGCATTTATTTTTCCAAACTACAGCTTATTCAAAGCTACCTCTTCTAGCACCTCCAGACCTTGCTGCATTCAAACCCTTGGACTGCCACAGCTACAGTGTCAGCGTGCAGCCGGTACAGGACGATACAGGCGATGGGCTCAGCGTAAGAGCCCTCTCCTTCCCATCTCCCAGTAAGCCACACTCATTTCATGAAGTGTTGTGTCAGACTCTGTTTTGAGTAATACTTGTAATTTCATTTATCTCACCCCAGCGAGAAAATTAGGCAGGGGTAGTATTGGAGAGCAGTCAGAGAAGGGATGACTGAGCACCTCTGGCCTTGGGGTAGGTGGGGAATCCTAAAGGTGGAGGGGGTGAATGATACCTACCACAGCCCAGGGCAGAAGCACAGCAAAGGTCAAGCTGCTCATCTAAAACCAATCAAGACAACATGCTTGATTACTCTCCAGAACAAGGAGCCAAATACTGCTGTAGGATGCTGTGCGGACCAAGTTGTGTGGGACACCAAGTTGGAGAGACACACAACCACTGACTCCTTCCCTGTGGAGAAGGAACAGCACCAGGAACGGGAGGGAACTCTGGCCCCAGGGTGGGTTCAGGACGCAGCTGAACAAAGCCACAGCACCCAGACCCAGTGCTGGGACAGACTTTAGTGCATTTAAATGAAGGCCCACATAAGCGCACCCCAATCTGCTACACAACTCTGAACGGCTACAGCCATAGCCAAGGGAAGCACCACTCTATGATGGCCAACTTCTCATTCTGTTCCAACATCAGGCCAAACCAGAGTACATTCCCATCCACGCTAGCATTCAGCCCAGATTCGAGACCAAGATATTTCTAATGTGGACAACACCATGCTAGCAGTACCCCTCTACTTTGCAGAGATGCTCAAAAACAGAGGGTGGGAAGAAGGAAAAAAAATAAGACCAAGATTCTTTAAGGCTATATCCCTACAAGCCAACTTAATTAATAGCGTCAGGAAATTGGTTTCTCCCAGATGCCAGTTTTGTTTTCCTGTAGTTTCCTACACAGATCCCTGAGGCAACACTTGCAGGCACTCCAGCCTCCCAGCAGGATGCACCTCCAGAGCTTGGGGAGCCTCCACCACAGGCAGGGTGCTGCAGGGCTGAGCAGCACAGCATCCCCTCCTAACTTCACCTGGCTCCTGCCAGGCCCCAGGGAAGCGTCTGGGCACACTGTAACCCTCCCTTACAAGTAATTTTGACACATCAGGGTGAGCAAGCACCAGACACATCTACATCTCCCAAGCACCTAAGGCTGGGAAATGGTCCCAGACACTCCACAGGTGCTCAAAACACAAAACCACACTCAAGTCTTCAGAATTCACCCATGTCTTTCATTAACTAGAAGAGGAGAATTAAACCCAAGAGGTGGTTAACAGCTCTGCTATGGCAGGAAAGAACAAACCTCAGGCTTCCCAGGTATGCCCAGGCTTACTGTGCAAGGCAACAAACCACCCTGCCCTCCAGCCCTCCGACTCAAAAGCAACCAACTATTGGAGTAAAGACACCACTGCAGCAAGGACAAGTCGTTTCCAGTCATTTATTCACTGCAGCATTTGAAGTACACCAGGTACTGGGTGAAGCTCCCTAGATACACAACAGGGAGAATACTTGATACAGTAAATTTATATAAAACCACAGTTAAATAAATAAAATAACACGGTAACCTCTCACTCTTGCTACAGACAGAGCAGACGAGCCCTGAGCCAGGTTAACATCAACAGCTTCAGTTTTTCCAGCCAGTTGTGGTTACAACATACATGGCCCCATACCCAGGGCACAGCAAGGCATCTATCCATCCTCACAGTTGAGGCAAGGGGTGTGCTTCTCAGGCCAGCTCTGCAGGAGCTTCGCTTCAGATGCTGTGCGGAGCCTGACTTCCAGTAAGGTTGAGTATGTCTGGAAAGCCAGGCCCAGCTTTGGTGTGCAAATGAGAAGCAGCATTTCTGAAGATGGGCCTTCAAGTACTTCAGGATCAGCCACAGGTAATGTGTTTGAGCCTCCAGAAAGACTGGTTAGAGCCAAGATGCAGGGCAGCACCCCAAGCTGTTGCCTTTCCTGCACTAAGACAGATTGAAGCCACATGTTTTGAGACTTCCCAAACTGTGCCAGAAAAAAAATCCCATACCAGAAAGACTAAGTATTTCTCTTCAGTTTTCAACATTTCCAATTCCAGGAACAGTTCACCTTCCATCATGATGGAAGATGGGGTCTGAAGCCATGTGCCTGCAGAACAGCAGGCAATACAAGTAGCACCAGAATGAAGAAAACCCATGTTACCGACACAAGAGTGTTATCCCACTGAGACTGGTTTTACTTAATCTAGGAGATCACTGTGTCTCTCTAGAACCTGCTTCTCCAGTTCCAACAGCTTTTGGTAAAATTTCTCAGCAGTTTCTTCATCCACATCAATCTGGAAGACAAGAACAGCGCTGTGAGACCATCACCTCAGTGGCAGCCAGCACAGATGCTGAGGGCAGCTCTGGGGACAGCAAGGTGCATCCCCCAGGGCCTCTACATTCAGAGAGGCAACTAAGGGCATCTATCACCAGGGCACAAGCCAGAACATATTTTGTGTTACACACTCATCCTGTTCTAACCAGCATCTCCACCATCTTCCAGACTCCAGCCTGAACCAGGAGTTACTCTAGGAAACCTCACACATAACCCCACATCAGCATTCAACACGCATCTTGTTTCCATTTCAGCTACAGGACACCCTTGGCACTGACCCTTCCACGTGAGGCAGATGGCAGACCCCTAGCCAAGTCCCCTGCCTGCAGCAGGAGGCTGCCACTCCATTTACCTTTCTGGGCTCCACATAGTTCTTCCCCAGTCCAGAAGTACAGCTGTGGTATTTGACAAGCGCATCCAGGGACTCTGGCTTCTGTTTGAACAGCCACACCTAGGAAGAACAGCACAAACACATACCAACGCTGTCCCAGCCAAGGCTGCAGTCAAGGACCTGGCTGCCAATGGACACAGAACACACCATGGGTGCTCTTACCAAGCAGGGGAAGACTTGATACCTAGAGAGGTTCTGAGCTGGCTCCCCTCAGCTGTGACCTACTTGAGCCAACAGGTAGACCATGTTGATGCCCCAGTGCTAAACCACCAAAGCAGTTCACATGGCTAAACCTGGCTCACTACTGTTCTTGATGCACACTGTGCCCTGCGTTACCCACCTCCATCCCTGTACCTGCATGTCCATGGCTGCCTGACTGCCAAAAGGGAGAGCAGCATTCTCCTTGACCAAGAGGGAAGGAATAGCATTTTTCCATAATCATGTATTTTATGAGCACCCAATGAAGGGCACAAAGCATCACCTGTTGGATCAGCCCTGGCCCCCTAGTGCTCACCGCTGTAAGCTGTTCAGGGGGGAAATGCAGCACCCACCCACCAGCCTGGGGTAGAGGCTCTTTGGTCAAGCTAGCAGACACTGGAAGAGCTACCCAGAAGGGAAGAATATCAAAGTCAAGTTGTGAACTACTTACATGAGCTTCTGCTCCATTATACGGTGTCAGAGTGTAAGTTTTGGCAAAAAAGCGGATCTGGGGGGAAAAGTAGGACATGACAGAATCTGTATTTTGGCCCAAGGTTTCTTGGGCAAGCCCTCTGCAGCCCAGCCACACCAGGTCATCCACCAGAGGTAGAAATGCTTCTCAAAGTTGACTACAGGTAACACTGCACACTTATGACTACAGCATCCCTTTATCGCCATAAACTCTGGTCTCTGGAGCCACCCACGAGATCAGCAAGCCCTTGCTCTGTGCCCCCACGCAGAGCTCAGCCCCAGAGCAAGAGGCAAGGGTCCACACCTATGCCTTGCGGACACCTCTTCTTGAGCACATCACATTCAGGAGCACATTGGGCAGGAGGCAGAGAGGATCTGCAATACCATCAGTGTTGAGGACAAGCAAGAAGGCGTAGCCTCTCCACTGCCAGGAGAAATGCGATCCATCAGGATCAGCTGCTGCCAGCTGGGGCAGAAAGACCAGTCTTGCAGCAAGAGCATCAAGGCTCAGAGCATGCAGCCTGCATGCGGGGACAGAACTGTAGTGAGCCTCAATAGCTGAAGCCCAGAGGAAGAAAGGCAAGGGAAGTTTTGGGGATGAGGCAATACTGAGCAGCCAGCTTTGCTTCCCAGAGGGATGGAAAGAAGAGAGCAGGAGATACTGCCTTCTACAGGGATGGGAAGAAGAATGCTGGAAAATACAGGGTCTGTTATAGAAACAAACAGCATTTCAAAGCACAGGGACCAAGTTTTGTCCTGAGCTCTGCTGCCACCAAAATGATAGGGTTTCACAAGCCCACATCAGGCTGGAAAACCTTCCAACCTTGACAAAAACTGCTATGGCTGAAAGGCTGAACCCTGGCTCTATGTACAGTGCCATCCAGCACCAAAGCTCCCAACTCAGCTTGAAAAATCAGGGCCCCAAGGTGCCAAAGGGAAGGTTTGCAGAGGGGCCAGACAGCCCAGTCTGACAGAAGGAAGAGCTGCACAGCAGCGTGGGTAGCACGGAGCCAGAAGCACGCTGCGCATCACTTGCAGTAAAGGATATCACAGCAGGGCTACCTCAACCCAAAACCAGCCAGGAGATCCACTTACCAACCACATGATGGGCATTAGCAGCTTCCACAGGAAAACTGGCAAAATTCTGTAGGTCATGTTCGACATAACAAGGCCAGGACAGACAACACTGGAATACAGACCCTGCAGAGAAGAAACCAAGTCAGCGTGCAAATACACAACAGAGTGTTTAAGAATGGATCATATTCCTTCCCACCTAGTATTTCTCAGCAAGAAAATGAAGGTGAGTATTGAGACTGGTTAATAGCAGATGCTCTCCTCTCTACAGTTACCACAGCCAGAGAGTGATTAGATGTAGTGATTTCCAAGAGGTCCAAGTTGGAGACGTTCATGTTAAATCTGTGCCCATTGCAAGCCTACGAGAAAAAAGGCCTCCCAGCATATCCCAACCTCATGTTGCAGTCTATGTGCAGCTCAGTTTTCCAAATCACAGCCTGCTCAGCCCAAACACTACCTCACCTTTAAGAGGTGAGTGTTCAGCCTTCTAGGACTAAGCCATTTTCGCCTGAAGTATTTCAGGACAGTGCAATCACTATCGTGGGACTAGGGCTGCAGCTTGCCAACAAAATCTGGTAAGGCTCCCGTGACAGGGAAGGTAGGTTGCTCATACACCTTAAGTGTGACAAACCTGAATAGCAGCATGGAGCCATCAGGAGAGACAGCAGAGCCTGAACCTCAAAGTGCTTGCAGGCAGAGCTGCCTGAGCAGCCCTGTTTTGATAGGTAGGCATGCCTGAAAAGAGCAGCAGCTCTTTAAGACCAATTCTTTGGTCTATAGAGACAGCTAGAGCTTGCAAGGTAGGGACCGCTCCTAAAAATCTTCTGCTTTCAGAAGTTTTTCTGACAAGAACCCCAGAATTGATCTCTCTGGCAGATTCTCTGCCACCCACACCAGCAGTTCAGCCTCAGCTATGTTTAATTCTTACACATGCATTAAGGAACATACCAGATCGCTATAAATGAATGCGACTAGTTAGTGACAATGTAGTGATAGTTATGAATAGTAGGAACTCATTAGGTTTTTTCTAGACATGCAAGCCCCATTATCACCTGCTTATTAAGTTTCCTGTTCAAAACGACGCTTGTCAGGTCAGTAGCATATTTGGAGGAACTGTATGATTCCTGCCCCTTGGCATGCTGATAGTCAGAAAGGCTGAAGGCAGACCTCCTGGCATTGCTAGAAGAGGTCCAGATGAGTCGTGAGGGCTTTTCGTTACCGCAGAGTAGTGACTCAAGTTGGCGAACCTGCAAAATAATTGTTAACTTATTTAACACAATAATTTTAAAGTCTTACAGTATAGCTTTGCAGTTCTTAAAAGCCACCAGCTTATCTCAGCTTTCCTCGCCTTGGCCAGCCTTCACTAGAGTAGCCAGAAGCAGCCGCTGCTCAGGTATAACTTCAGCCCAAGGTCCACCAGGAGCATTTACAAGCAGCCACCATTCTCTTACACAGCTCAGTTGGGCACTTTGGAATTTAATATAGCTAAGCCTTGGCATTCACCCTAGACAGAGAGAACTACGTGTGGTTTACCTCTATCCACTGACTAACTAGAGTAACCTTTGACATATCGTTCCTTATCTGTCAGGCTGCAGCCTGCATCAGCATCCAAACCTGTAGGAAAGAGCAGGTTCTGCCTGTGCTTATCCCTACCCACATCAACCACCAGACCAAGGGCTCAATCTTCATACGCAGCCTCACCAGGATAAAGTGGCCAAAGAGGTTGGTAGCAAACACCTCCTGCAGTCCGTCTCCATTAAGCCTGTCTGTCTGGGTCATTACTCCTTCTGCGGTAGTCAGCATGTGAAGCAGCTTCCTAGGAACCAAGGACAGGAGTTAGAGAGGAATGCTGCTGGGAGGGGTCTAGTGCTGCCCCACTTCAGTCCTTCAGAAGCATTCCCCACCATGCAGGCTCCACACAGAGTCTCCAGTTTCACCTGCAAGGGCTGTCATTAAGCCATGAAAAAATGGCTGGAAGAAGTTTACAGAGTATCCCAGCCCCTTTATTTGCAAATGTCTCAATACTGACTAGACCGGAGATGACTTGTCTCTTCCTTCACTCCACCATGGTAAAGTACCATTAAAAAAAAAAAAAAAGTCTTGCTCTTCCATTCCATGCTCAGATAACAAAAATCAAGCTCCAGCATGGAACTAAGCCCTAGGGCCATGCCTAATTCAGACAAGGAAAGCAGCCTAACATCTACGTTCAAGACCCCAACAACCGTATTGGGCTCAACGCAAGTCACTTTGCTCCCTAGCTCAGCCTCCCTATGTTGCTTATAGAATAATGACACTTATCCCTATGGTGCTTATAGAATAAGCATCAACTATTAGCTTCACAAAATACAGCGATCGACAGCTGACAGCAACTATGAAAACCTATAGTGGAACCAAAGCAACGGTAAGGAGAGCGGGTAAGAGCAAACTTCACCTCCCCAGCAACACACCAGCGTTTTCCACTTGATGCCCAACACCAGGAGCTGCAGGCTTTGGGTGAGCTCTCCCCCTGCACAGTGGGCCTTGAACCAGGGATCGGAAGCAGCACTGGGTGCCTTGGAGCACCCCAGCATTTCACCCAGCTGGCAAGCCCAGCCCACGCAAGGCCACGCATCCCACAGGGAGGTGCTCCGGGTCACACTGGGGAAGGGGGGGGGGATCTTCAGCCCTGGACCCAAGGGCATTGCCTTGGCCACGATGGCGCTGCCAGCACCCCATACTGCCCACAAGCCAGGGTACCAGACACCCCCCCAACATCTCGTACCCGTTGAAGAGACCGTGCCAGAGTGCCTTGAAGTTCACGTGTGGGTTGGGCATGGTCCCAGCATTGAGGTAGACAAAGTCCAGGCGCTGAAACCTGCACAGGGAAGAGCATGGATGTGAGGGGCAAAAGGCTGGATAAGGGGGCCCAGTGGGGTGGAGGACAGCAACCCGGTACCTGCGGCGGAGCTCACGGGCGACACGCAGGACAGAAGCCAGGTTGCCCAGGTCGGCTTCCACGGTAGAGATCCGGGCGGCGGGGTGGGAAGCCAGGAGGAGGTCACGCGTGGCTTCGCACTTCGCGGCGTTGCGGCAGGCGATGCAGAGATGGATGCGG